CATGATTTTGCACAAGAACTCTTTTGTGGAAGAGTTCTTGTACAAAAACTCTTCCAGAAGAGAGTGCCTACTCTGGCATGTGCCTTTGTGCAAAAGATGTGCTTTTGCGCAAGAGCATCCTTGCCCGTGTAGAGCTTTCTTGCGCCAGAGAGCATCTGAGGGCCATTTTAGCCATAAGGCTTTCTTGCACAAGTAATTCATGTTGCCTGTCTACACTGGCCTCTTGCACAACAACAGTTGCTCAAGAGGGCTTATTCCTGAGCGGGAGCATCATAGTTCTTGCGCAAGAAGCGCTGATTTCATACATTAGAACGTCAGTGTTCTTGTGCAAGAACTCGCGGCCAGTGTAGACAGGCAGCAAGTTTGGGCAGAAAAGCGGCTGCTTTGGCGCAAGATCGCACCAGTGTAGACACAGCCACGGAGGGGACTCATCTGGATGATGTGTCAGGGTCTGCACTGACTAGACAGAGCTATAAGTGGGGGGCATCTGCAGTGGAGTATGGAGAAAGTTTGGGTAAGTGAACTCTGTTGTGGTATTTTCCCAAAATAATGCCATGACACACCTCTCTCTTTCATTAAAAGCTTCTTTTCTTCACTCAGACTCTGTGTCTATGAGTAGGGAAGCATTGCCACTCAGAGGCACCCAGGGGTGTGTGAATTACCCCAGCTAGGTGAGGGCTCGAGCCAGTTCTATGAGAGATGGACCCCTAGGCTATGTCTACAGTGGCAGCTTCTTGCGCAAGAAAGCTCTGATGGCCATTTTAGCCATAGGGCTTTCTTGTGCAAGAAATCCCTGCCAAGCATCCACATTGCCCTCTTGCTCAAGAGCTCCTGCACAAGAGGGCTTACACCTGTTAAAAAAAAAAGAGTGTAGCTCTTGCGCAAGAAGCCCTCTTACTACGCTGTCCTGTACATCTTCTTGCACAAAAGCAGGTAGGCACTGTGGACACTTTCTGGAAGAACAGCCATTCTTGCGCAATGACCCGCCAGTGTAGACATAGCCCTAGATATTGAACCTGGCCCTGGTTGCTGCCAGGCCTACCCAGGAAGGGTTACACATGCATCAGCAGGGCCGGGTCCTAGAGAGGGCCAAATACGCTGCCTGCAACACAGTCTGAGGGAGGGGATTGGCTACCTGCAACACAGTCTGCCTGCAACACAGTCTGAGGGAGGGGATTGGCTGCTGGGGTCTCTGGGAAGGGAAGAGACATATGAGCACCAGTTTAATCATCCCGCGTAGGGTACCATAAATCCTAAGGACGGCCCTGGTCTCACCCACAGAAGTTGGTCTAGCTACAAATATAGAATTCAAGGAAAGTAGGTTAGCACTAACCGCGATTGCACTGAGGTCAATTGTCTTAGATTTAACAGAGGTGAGTAGTCCACATGGGAATCAATTATTTTAGTAGAGATGGTTATTAGAAAATTGGGCCTCTCTGTAAGGTATCTGTATTCATTAATGAAAATTTGTACCATCTCCTAATATCAGTATGGTACTTCACACCACAGTTTCATTGTCTACTACTTCATAGAGAGCAGTTTCTCTTAATCAATCTGGTATCTGTGAGCATTACAGAAATAAATCTGCTTTCTTACTCAAGAAAAAACTACATGATGCAAATTAGAAATGCCCTGTTCTGACGCACAGACATTCAAGCAGTTTTACCTTCTAAGGAAAACAAAA